AAATAGAGCAAAAGTATTCTGTGGGTTTATCTAAAGTGAATATCAGCCAAATTCCTTTTTACTTCCAAATGTTGTGTACACATTTGAAACGCAAAGCTTCAGTGTGGAGGAAAATATTTACCCCCCCAAAATTTGGAGTTAAAAAAAAAAAATCACCCTGTGCTTAGTGGGAGGAAAAGAACTAAGTGCTTTAATATGTACTCAAGTCCTCGTGACAGTCATACAGTGGCGTGTCACATTGAGTAGGTTGTTGAAGGAAGAGTACACGGCAGGGTTGTTGGGGGAAGCCGGCGTTTATCATTGTCAGAGAGAAAGTGTGCAGCATATCAAAGCCGGGAAATAAACTCCGTTGCACAGAAAGGAGAGACAACTAAAACATCCTATGGATGCAGAGGTTTAGAGACGGCAGCTGAAAAAGCACGGAGTCCCCCCCCCCTTCTCTCTCGCTCTCTTTCTCTCTCTCTCTCGGTCTCTCTCGCTTTCTCTTTCTCTCTCGGTCCCTCTCTCGCTTTCTCTCTCTCTCTCATTCTCTCTCTCTCTCGTTCTCTCTCTCTCTCTCTCTCTGTGTCTCTCTGTCTGTCTGCCTCTCTGTCTGTCTGTCTGTCTGTCTCTCTGTCTCTCTGTCTCTCTGTCTCTCTCTCTGTCTCTCTCTCTCTCTCTCTCTCTCTCTCTCTCTTATGAAGTTGCTAGCGTCGTACAACCTTACTAAAACTAAACTCTCTCTCTGTCTCTGTCTCTGTCTGTCTGTCTGTCTGTCTGTCTGTCTGTCTGTCTGTCTGTCTGTCTGTCTGTCTGTCTGTCTGTCTGTCTGTCTGTCTGTCTGTCTGTCTGTCTGTCTGTCTGTCTCGTCCCCTTCTCTCTCAATATGAGTTTGTGTGTGTGTGTGTGTGTGTGTGTGTGTGTGTGTGTGTTGTGTGTGTGTGTGTGTGTGTGTGTGTGTGTGTGTGTGTGTGTGTGTGTGTGTGTGTGTGTGTGTGTGAGTCCACGTATGTAGGTGAGATTGAGAGAGAAAAACAAACAAACACAAAAAGGGAGAATCCTGCTGAAACAAGAAAACATGCAGACATACAATAGAGACTCAGAAATACTGACAGGTGCTTTTCCAGGACCTCCTTCGCAATACGAACACTTATTTCAGAGTCGTAAAGAATCAAGATGAGTTTGCAAAATGGAAGACCTGGTACTAAACCTGTCAGCAAGCACCCTCTAAACACGTACAAACAGATTGAGAAACAGATAGACGAAAGAAAAAGAAGAGTTTGGGAGTGAAAGATAGCTTAAACAAAGAAGAAGTGAAAACAGGGGGGGGGGGATTCCTGGAAGGATTAGGCACTTTTTGAAACGATTTTTTTCTTCCAGTTATCAAATTAAATCAGATCTGATGTTTTGACGGACGCCGAGGACAAACCGTAAGAAGTATTAATTAAGGACGGCATGGCTTCATGAGCCAACACGAGGAGATCAATAGCAACAGCAATCATTTCGTCCTCTCGCCATATTATCAACATCAACAATAAAAATAATGACAAGTCAATAAAACGATGAATGAATTATTACTGATATCCCTGGTGATCGCGTCAAAGAATGGACATTTGTGCGGCACGCTGGAGTGTGATCGCGGGAACATAAAGGAATTATGATGATGGGATTAGACAGGTACTTACACCTAGGGTCCAATGCCGCATCGCTACATTAGAATTACCGGTACAAAGTTCTATCTGACCAAATTAATGTTCTGTCTGCTCTATCAAAACTGGGAGATTTAGAGAATTGCATTCGAAAAAGCTTGACATGCTGTGAAACTCAAAATGTTTTAACGTCAAATTTCTCAAAACTAGGTACTGAGCAGATACGAGTAGAACTTCTAAGGTAACGACATGTATTTTTGAGGTAGTAACATGTCGATACTTCTAGTTTTAGTGCTACTGTAAAATTGCGTGGGACACACCAAACATTTTCAGTTGGAAGAAAATTTAGAATTTTGCCTGGGTGGCGGCCGAAACCTACTCTTATCGATTTTGGACCACTGAGGGATCTTTAATGTGCGCAACTTGCACACGAGACCTCCGAGATTTTTCGCCGTTATCCGAGAAGGTTAGGCGTAGATCTTACCTAGCATAAGATCAGGGGTGTGGCTGAAAGACAGTAGAAAGAAGTTTACTAAGAAGCAGCCAAGGAGTAACAGTAGAAAGGTTGCAGAAGGAATCAGGAGCCCAGAGTAGAGGGTAAATGAGGTGAGGTGGTGGGGGCAGAAAGTGGAGACGAAAGCAGACGACAGAACAATGCTATTTAGCAGGAAATGGTGTGAAAGGATAACATTTCCTTCACTTTCCGAATTCGAACCCACGAAGTATTGAATGAGAGGCAAACACATTACACTCTAGACCACGAGAGCTCCCAACGAAGTTTTTATTTGATCTATTGGGGACCTTTTAAAACCAGAGAAAAGACGTCATGTCTATACTTCTCAGTTTTACTGTTGCCGTATAGCTGCCTGAGTATCCACCAACATATTGATTGGTCCATCTGAGAGTTGTTTTTTTTTAGACTAGAGAAGCTGAAAGACAACACGTCGGTATTTTAAAACTCTGGTGCTTCTGTTCAGTTGCCATGAACTACTGATGAGCTATCCAAATCTTTTGTTTTTGTAAAATGTTTTACGGCGCTCGCAACTGCATAAGGTCATATGAGCGCGCGGGACACACCTAATTTTGCCCGGGTGGCGGCCGAAGCCTACTCTTATCGATTTTAGACCACCAAGGG